TCCAGCTCTACACCTTGTTATCTCAGTGAAATAGACTGAACTGTTAGGGCATACACTGATCATTAATTGAGGAACATATTACACAGCACATCGATCCACAGCAGCAAAGACTTCCACAGGCTATTGTTAATGCTTAATGGTAAACAGTAAACAGGTCTAGTTTCAGCCCTTGAACACATCACACAGAACAGCGGTTTGGTTTGCTCGAAGTCGTGTGATATTTTAATTACATGCCTAAAGCAAGGGTGCTAATTGTGAATTTGCCCAGAGCTAAAAGACACACAACGTAAGTTGGCTAAGTTAAAATACTATGCCAAGCGAACACAGCTTGGTATGACTAAGAACTGTCTTTGGACAATAGACTTGACTTTGAAAAGGGTATAGTGGAATGTGGGTCCCTGAACTGCCTCCCACACGCTGAATTGCTAGTCTTCACTTTTGCACCCAGTAGATGCCAAACAGATACAAGCACTGCTTTTTTTTTTGTCTCAGTGCTCTATATGGATTATCAGTAATGCACACTGAGATAAACAGAAACTGCTGCTGGAAGACCATCAACTTGGTGAAAGGCATTCTCTGGTTTGCCTGAAACACACTGGACTTCCATTGTCAATGGCTGAGTGCTGTAGACTGGCACGTTCCAAGGTCCAGGATTACATGTTGCAGACTGCACACGCTAAAGCTTGGGACAAACTTCCAAAGAGGCTCAATAGAGAAAGACCACTGTCTAAGGCACTCTCGCCATAGGGTAAAACCCCTTGAGCTCTATGCACCAGAGAATATTTGATGTGAAATGTAAATACACGTGCTAATTATAACCTGTAATGGTAAATGTAGAGGCACTTCATGTACTGTATTGAAAAAGACTGATCTGTTTTCCACTTTATGCAATATCAAATTTGAACTGCTATGTTCCTTTACAAATCCAAAGAATAAACATTATTTTTGGAATAAAAAAAATTGTTTCCTGATAAGAGAAGAAAAGTTGGAGGGAGAATCCTCCCCATACCACTTCATACAGCACCCAGATAATGCCCAGCATTTCAATCATGGATTCAATGGCATGACCCCTATTGCTGAATTTCCCAACTATGAACATCCTGGGGTTCCCATTGACCAGAAACTGAACAGGAATAGCCAGACCAATACAAGATATTGGCTCCAAGAGCTGGTCAGAGGATAGGAATCCTGCAGTAAGTAACTCACCTGACTACCCAACACTGTCCACAAGGCACAAGTCAGGAGTGTGATGGAATATTCCCCATTTGACTGGATGAGTGCAGCTCCAACAACAGTAAAGACATTTGACACCATCCAGGACAAAGCAATCCACTTGTTTGGCACCCCAGCCCTCGAACATTCACTCCCTCCACCACTTAGACACTGTAGCAGCAGTGTGTACCATCTACAAGATGTACTACAGAAATTTACCAAGACTCCTCAGACAGCACCTACCAAATCTACGACTGTTATCATTTAAAAGGATAAGGGCAGCAGATACATGGGAACACCACCACCTGCAAGGTCCTCTCTGAGCCACACACCATCCTGACTTGGAAATATATTGCCGTTCCTTCAGTGTTGCAAGGTTAAAATTCTGGAACTCCCTCCTGAACAGCATTGTGGGTGTACCTACATCAAATGGACTTCAGCAGTTCAAGAAAGCAATTCACCACCACTTTCTCAAGGGCACCATGGAATGGGCAATTAATTCTGGGCCTGCATATCCCATTTATAGAAAAAAAATTCTACACAAAACTATTTCAATGATTGAGGGAGGATGTAGCACACATTTCCTGTGCTTATCACTCTCTGCTGCTTGCCGTCGCATGTTCTGTCTCTCTCACTCACCTGACTGCTGTGAATAGTAGAGACTGGGGTAGAGGCAGCTGAATGGCTAGGAGAGCTTGGCAGAGACTTGCATGATGCAGCAAAAAGGTGTTGCTGTTTCTTAATGGCTGAGATCTTCTGCGTGACTGAAAGAAAAAATAAAGGTGAGTCCTCTGCTGAATGACAGGCTGCATTTTCTAACTATGTTAACAAGAACACAAAGAATTCTGAAACTAGAAGATAAAAACAAATATGCCAAATTGTCAAGAGAAAACAGGAAGCCTGTAACTTGACAAAAATAGAGAGAAGCTATCGTCAATGATTGTCCCACACGTGGACATAATGCCTTAAAGATCTCGATGGGCACTCCTTGGAACGTTGGAGGCTGAGGGGTGACCTTACAGATGTTTATAAAATCATGAGGGGCATGGACAGGGAAAATAGAGAAGGTCTTTTCCCCCATGGTAGGGGAGTTAAAACTAGAGGGCACAGGTTTAAGGTGAGAGGGGGAAAGATTTAAAAGGGACCTGGGGGGTAACTTCTTTATGCAGAGGGTGGTGCATGTATGGAATGAGCTGCCAGAGGAAGTGGTGGAGGCTGGTACAATTACAACATTTAAAAGGCATCTGGATGGGTATATGAATAGGAAGGGTTTAGAGGGATATGGGCCAAATGCTGGCAAATGGGGCTGGATTTATATAGATATCTGGTCAGTATGGATGAGTTGAACCAAAGGGTCTGTTTCCATGCTGTACAACTCTATGACTCTGTCATAACACCAGCCAGAACAGGGAACAGCTCTTTTTCACTAAAATTACTCCATGTGTGTGAGAAACACAATGTTAAAGCTAAACTATATAAACATGTTTTGATAAAAATTGTACAGCATTTAAGCTTTTTGCCCAACATTTTTGTAACAATACCGTCCCTTTAAAACTGATTTTGCTATTCCAATTGATAAAACCACCCGAGTTTCTTTTCCTTAAAGTTGCCCGAAGAAACTTTAAGTCAATATCCCGCCCTTTTTTGAGTGCTTTTTGTGCAGGCAGCAAGTTCCAACTCATTATGAACCAATTTCAGCTAATTGCAAGGCGAAAACATTTAAAGGAGAGTTGTTTTTGGCAACTTTTTCCAAAATGGTCATCAGGTGGGTGGTGACTTGAACACCTACGGAGAAAAATTATAATTCAAAGACTCAAAGCACCAACAATTCCCATGAAGGCAGAAACGATTTTACAGCCCCACACTGGCAAGAGAAAATCCAGTTGAGAGTCATCCATTTGGCCTGTTAATACCACTTCATCCAGCGTTTACGCCTGATTATTCTATCACGAATTCTCTCACACACCAATTGCCAATAGTTTAAGAAATATCAAGGCACTCAAGTTACCCCTTGGGATATTAGTAACGAGCAGTTTAAATATTCCCTTGAAATTTCGACATCAGTTGGACCTGTTATCCACCTGTTTTAAGCAGGTTAATACAGTGTTGAGGGAGAGAAAATCCCTCAGGTTCACCAAATATGGAGAAGGGTGAATTTTATGGTTCAGCCCTCCTGGTGCAAAGTGTCGCTTGATCAGAGTGCAGCTTGGGATCTTGGGGATGCTAGTTAGTGTGCCTGATTTGTGCCCAAAATGATCTTCCATCGGGAGTCTTGTGGCGCAATGACTAGTGTCCCTACCTCTGAGAGAGAGGTTCTGGGTTACAGTCCCGCTATGGAACTTGATGTCAAGGAAGGTGTGTTCATAACACAGCCACACAGGATGATTATTATTTTGCAAAGTGTTCTGACACACCCAGAGCAGGCAATAAGAGAAGGAGAGTCTCCTGGCCATGGTTGATGGGGAGTAGCGCCTCTGGAAAAAAGGCTAGCAACAGTCCCAGAAAAAAAACTAGCTATTGAAACAGACATAAGGACATGCTCTGTATGCCTCATGCATTCCCCTGTCACTAGATGCAGGAAAGATAAGCAAATCTTCAATTGTGGCAAAATCTTTGATAATGCATGCCTGATCAACAAAGATTGGGATCAGCAGCAATAAATAATAAAATTTGCTCCTGGATTATGAAGAAAGCCATTCATAATTCTGATATATCTAGGAAAGGAAATAAAAGACAATTAACGTTGAGTAGCGACCTCATATTGCCCTTAGACCCGAGAGAGCTTACCAGCAATCACACCTGATCTTGCTTAATATGCAAAGATAGACATTTTCAGATCAGCTTGTCATACATTCAGCTTGCTGTACTGTTTCTTAAGCAGTTACAGTACGGATGCTGTATTTAACCTTCCTCCTCTAAGCCTTTCTGTTTCTATCTTCCTTTCAGAATTAAGATTTGCTGTCAAAGCTGCTCAACCGCCCAAGATTCAGCCAATTATTATTAGCATACTGCAGATCATCAAGTACAAGAATCTGCTTTAGAGGATGCTGGTCATTCATGTCAAATGAATAGAAAAAGCTGAAACCTCACTTATTCATTTGCATTTCAGCTTCCAAACAGTCATGTTCCATACCATATTCATGGTCAACATTTTGTCTGAGGAATGAATTCATCATCACCACTATGAACTCACCACCTCACTCCCCATAAAGACTTTTGTTACAAACAGATATCCCATTCTCGGCTTTCCCTACATTACATGTAAACAACAACTCGTATTTGTAACATGGTGAAACATCCCAAGGGACAGGAGAGTTACCAGACAAAGACTGACACCAGAAATAGTAGGAACTGCAGATGCTGGAGAATCCGAGACAACAAGGTACAGAGCTGGATGAACACAGCAGGCCAAGCAGCATCATGGGAGCAGAAAGGCTGACGTTTCGGGCCTGATGAAGGGTCTAGGCCCGAAACGTCAGCCTTTCTGCTTCGAAGACTGACACCAAGCCACTTAAGGCAATAATAATACGTATGACCAAAAGCTTGGCCAAAGGAGAGGTTTAAAGGAGGACAGGGAGAGGTAGAGAGGTTTTTACAGAAGGAATTCCAGATATTAGGGCCCATGCAGCTGACAATGTTGGAGTGATGGCAATTGAACAATGCTTGAAATACAAGGGGCAGTGTGAAAATCTACCCACAAAAGTCCTCAAATTGCCCTGGAAAATTCATTCATGGGGCAACCAGTCAGAATAAAGTCCACCCAAAAGTTGAGTGGAAAGATAAGGTGAGGAGTCATTCCTTCAATCAGAGCCTGGTTCTCTCCCATGCTTGCTCTGATAGGTGACTGGGGGAGTAGTGAACAGCTAGGTAAATAAACACTAGCAATGAGAGAATTGCCTGGGGTTGGCGAAGCCAGAGCTGAGGTCCAGAGACAGGAGCTGGATAGTCGAAATCTGGGTATGGGAGGTCAAGGTCTGGGTGCCAATTACCTTTTCACTGAGGCCAGGAAAGGGTGCCATGGCCTGAAGCAGCCTTTTGGCCAATGTCAGGAGGAGGAATGGAGAGCCGCCATTTTGATCTTGCCAATTGTGTTGGGGGAGGTGATACAGGCTTCAAGGAGACTGAGGCTAGGGTAAGCTGGGGTGAGCACAAAGGGAGTGAAGATCTGCAGGGGAACTGGGGGTGTGTGGAGATGATGAGGGGGACCACAAGATGTCTGGGTATAGGGTGGGAGAGACAGGGGAGCTGCAAGGGGGCAGAAGTTGGGGGAGATGGGCTGTGGGACAGAGGGAGGCCACAAAGGGAGATGGGAGGCCATAAACAGGCTGGAAGAGAGGGAAGTTCATGGGGGAGGTGTGAGAGAGAGAGAGGTCACAGGGGGAGGTGAGAGAGGGGGGGAGGCTTCAAGGAGTGGTGGTTGATAGAGACCGGCTGCAACGAAGGAGAAGAGAGAAAGAGGCTGCAAAATAGAGATAACAGTTTCAAAGCTGTAAACAAAGGAACACTCAGTGAATGAGAAGCTAGGAAAATTTGAAATCACTGAGGAAATTAATAACTTACAAATTGATGCGATAGCTCTAGCTTAAAGCCACACATTTTCAGCAGCTACTTTATTGGTAAGATTGTAATGGATGCAATTGTAAAGGACACTGTGTCAATTGTAAAATTTAAATCTGAGATTGACATCTGAGATGCAGTTTTAAAAAAGGTATTAACTACTTGTTTAAAATATTACAGCCTTGTAAATATTCGATGGAAATTTATTAGCTGTAACCTCACCAATCTGTGGAAGGTGAGTGCGGGCAATGGGCTTTTGTGTGTAGAAGTGCATGTCAGTTATTCTGAAAAAATCCTTTGCTAATTTAAGCCTGTGGTCTTGTGCCAATTTCAATACTGTGGCATTCTGGAAATTAATGTTTTCCTTATGTGTTGCTGTTCTAAGTTTAATGGGGTTCATAATTATTGAGGATATTGATAATTCTGCTTCTGTGTGATTCCAAATACCCTATACAGTATGTCAAACAAATACAGAAGATAATATTGCTCTGTAAGTGCATCACCTGAGAAAGGAATTAGTGAGAATTAAAAAGTAGCTCCAAAAATCAAAACATAGCCTCAAGGGAGCCCTCAGAAAAAAAAAATCACCCCTGAAACTGAGATTTCTCAAGAAGCCAGAATTAGAGGAACAGATATCCTAGAGGGTTGTACAGTTGACAAACATCACAGAATGAGGGATGGACAATACCATGGAGGGATTTGTAAATAAGGATTAAAATTTTAAAATAGAGGTATTGCTGGACCAAGAACCAGTTTTAGGCTTGGTTCAAGTTAGGAATGTTTGGATATACAAAAATACATAATTGGTTGTGAAGCATTTGAGTCAGCCTTAGATTATGAAAAGTGTCAAAGAAATGCAAGGTTCTTCCTTCTTTCTTGTGTCATCTTTTGGGATGTTCCAAAAGGAAGGTCTGCTAGGCTGGAACTTAGTGGATTGTTTAATTTTTCCAATTTAGTATTAGCTAAAGTTCTGATGTGAGGATATGAGAGCACTTACTAAACAATCTGTACTATTTTACGTCATTACATATTAGATAGAACTCTCTTCCTCATGATTTTCTGGCTACCACTTCACAACCATGGTGAGGAAGGTATTCACATGCAGTCAATGGAATCCAAGTGTTCAGCCTGAATAAAACAGTAGCAGGCCATTGACTGTTTGCATTGTTGCTGCCAGATTGCTGTTTTTAATGAGATCACTATAATACAATATACCTCTCTTGGTACATGAATAGGTTTATGCTTTTATTGGGTTTGGATAAATTGGACAGAGAAGACTCGTTTCCCATGGTGGAGAGCTCAATTACCAGGAGACATGGATTTAAAGTGTTTGGAAGAGGGATTAGAGAGAATATTAGGAAAAACATTTTCATCCAAAGGCTGGCAGGTGTTTGGAACTCGCTGCCCATTTTGAAGGTCGAGTCAGAAGCCCTCAACTCATTTAAAAGGAACTTGGATCTGCACTTGAAGCGCTGCAAAATGCATGGCCACTGACCAGTTGTGGAATTAGAATGGGTGGCCAACTTATTCAGCCAGCGCAGATATAGATAGACCGAATGGCTCCTTTGTGTGCCATAACTCTTCTGTGGTTCTATGTAGTGAAATCAGCTGTTTACCAAATCATTAGAATTTTACAGCACAGAAGTAGACCATTTAGCTCAGTTTACCCATGCCAATTTTCCTTGTCTCTTTCCTGATAGCATTTGGGGGTACTTGCTGAGGGTGAACTTCAGATTTAATACTGCTGCCAGGATCAAAGTCCTTACCTTCGTTAAACACTCGATCGACGTTGAGTCCATATGTCGCACATGTTTCGTAATACATGCAGCGTTTTAGGTCAGCACAGAGTCTTCGTGCCCGAGCATCATCAATGACTCGTGGATTGGTAGCACTGATTGCGTCTGTAAAGGAAGTGAAAGAAATCTTTCAGGGAGCAAATGCTGCACAGAAGGCATGTGCCTGCCAGAATTGTCCCATTGTAACTTCTCTGGCTGCAATGTATGCATATTAACTTCTCATTTATTGCTATTTATTGATATAATTGCTATTCAAAGGCAAATAAGATTACTTCATTGTCCAGATAAATGACCAACTCTTCTGCAATCAAATAGCTTTCCAAGTCACACAAATATGCTGCAGCGAGATGGGTGTTGCAGTGGCAATATCACTGGCTTGATAGAGACCCAGACTAATGTTCAGGAGATTTGGGTTCAAATCCCACTATGGCAATTGGTGGGATTTAAATTAATAAAAATTCAATTGATAAATCATTCTAGAATTCAGGGTGTCTTGTGGTTCAGTGTCCCTACCTCTGGGTAAGAAGGTTTAGGTTCAAGCCCCATCTGCCATGGAGGTGTGTCACAACATGTCTGAATAATTTACTTTAACAAAAATATCAGAAACTGAAAGTTAGTAGCAGTAATGCTAACCATCAATTGCTGTAAAAAACCCATCTGGTCCTTTAGGGAAGGAGATCTATCATTCTTACCTGGTCTGGCAGCATAAGACCCAAAACAATGTGGCTGACTCTTAACTGCCCTCTTAAATGGTCTAGGACAAGTAGGGATGGGTAACAAAAGAATACCCACATTTCACTAAATAATAGAGTAGTTTTGAAAATCATTATTATAATAATAAAAGTCCACTAGTTTCAGGAATAGAATAACTATTGGAATGGTTAGTGATGAAGAAATACATTGTTAGAAACATTTACAGCATAAGAAGCAAATCCCCTTGCAGTTTTATACAGTAACATTATATAAAATAGAATAGTGTGGTACTGGTAATGTATCTATGTTGAATATGTAGGCATCTATGTTGAAGACCTGACTCAGACTGACCTTGTGCTTACAAATCTTTTATGTTATTGAAATGAATGCAGACAGAGTCCCTAAGCTTTAAACATGCCATCCTACTTGACCATTGTTATCCCTCTATCCTTACCGCATTGAAATGAAAACATAATTGAGTAGAGCAGGACTGTATTCTCTGCCAGACCTAAGTATTTTCAGCACTTTTGGTCTTTATTTCAGATTTCCAGCATCCACAATGTTTTGTTTCTCTATTCTATGTAATTCAGAAGAATGAGGGGTGATGTCATTGAGTTGTACAAAGTTCTGAAGTTTAACAAGGTAGATTGCTGAGATAACAAGGTGTAGAGCTGGATGAACACAGCAGGCCAAGCAGCATCAGAGGAGCAGGAAGGCTGACATTTCGGGCCTAGACCCTTCTTCAGAAATGGAGAAATGGATTGCTGAGAGGCTGTTTTCCTATGTTGGCTGGACAGTCTAGAACTATGGGGCTCACAATCTTAGGATAAGGGGTTAGTCATTTTGGACTCAGATCAGGAGACATTTTATCAAAATTTTGAAACTCATGGATCTTGGGAATTTTCTACCTCAGAGGGCTGTTGACATTCAGTCATTGAGTTTATTCAAGATCAATAATTTGGGTGCTTACAGCATTGAGAGATAGGGAAAGTGGGGTTGAGGTAGAAGGTGGATCTTCAGTGGAATCTTAGGTGGAACAGTTTCAAGGGACAGATGACCCACACCTGTTTCTTATGTCTATCACACCATCTCCTACTCCATTTCTTTCCAACAACCTCAGTTTTGGAACTCCTCAACTTCCTCAGACTCCCTCTCCTCCTACAATTTTCAGGCTTTGAAAACCCAAACTCGGCATCACCTTGTTATCAAGTTTCCTGACACTTATCTATTCTCACAACACTGATGGAAACCTTGCTCTGAGTGATATCTGGAATGCTCTTTTGGATACAATAATGGAAACAAAATGCATGCAAACAATTTAATTTCAGGTGAGGGTGACTGCAGGCTTCTGTTAATGAGCTGCATGTACAGAGCCTTGGTCAGACCTCATCAGTTTTCTGCATTGCACCTCAGAAAGGGTGCATTTGGTCATGGAGGAGGCGCAGTATATGTTTACCAGCATGATACCAGATCTGAAAGGGTTAAATTACGAAGACAGGTTACATAAACGTGGTTGGTATCCTTCTGAGTTTAGAAGCCTGAGGGGCAATCAAATTGAGGCATTGAAAATTCCAGAAGGGTTCGATAGGGTAGAGGCATGTCAATAATTTCCTGTGATGTGGGAATCCAAAACAACTGTGCAAACCCTTAAATTTACAGTGAGGCTATGTAGCAGTAACATCAGAAAGCACTTCTTCACACAGAGACTAGTGAAAATCTGGAACTCCCTCAAAAAAGTTAAGGATGAATTGAATCTTTCAAAGTCAAAATTGATAGATGCTGGATGCAGAAGGGTATCCCGAGATACGGAGCAAAGGCAGGATTGTGATGTTAAGATACAGACCTGCCAGAATGGCAGAACAGGCTTAAAGGGTTGTTCCTATGATAAGCTGAATGGCCTCTCTCTTCTGTACTTGTTCTTGTATCCTATGTTGTGGATGCTGGTCCTTCAGCTAGGATTTTCAATACAAAAAAAGGAAAACACACACTATACTGATGCTGTATGGATCACAGCTAAGTTTCAGGCCTTTTGATGTGTTGCCAAACAGTGAAATACCATTTGACACTCAACATCCTTACGTCATCAAGTAATTTGATGTTCATTAAAGATCATCTTTACAAGCTTCCAGCCTGCAGCTTCTCTCGAGACAATAATATCTTCCCTCATGAATTGCAAATTTTTATAAAAATTTATGAGCAGAGGACATATTTGAAGCTTAAATACCCTACACTATTCTTTGGACTTTTCTTCAGGGGTTGTGTAGAGAAAAAGGGGATATAAAATAAGTCGTAGTCTCAAGAGTTATGAAGATATATTCACTGCTTTGTGACAGAGGTTGATTTTAACAAAGTATATTCATGCTTTATTTTTTGCTTTGGCTTTTTGCCAATCACTGAGCTGGAATTTAAAGGCCTTTTGGAGATGGGGGAGGGGAGAAAAATAGGTGGAAGAGAAACAAAGAGGGAACAAAAAAAATCCATTCACGCCAGCTGGCCAACGAGAGCAATACACAACAGGGGGTTATTGTTGAAATGTTCACACTGACACCATTTATCTGATATTTCCAGTTGAACTGCACGTCCAAAACACAATTTATAGAAAGCACAGCTAAAAAATATACAGGTTAAGTTGAAAAAAACTGTATTGGCAGAGATTGCCATTTCACTAACAACAGTATTTCATTAACTGCAAGGTTCTTTGGGACATCCTGAGATGCAGGTGAATGGCACTACATGAATGCTTTTTACAACGCTAATCTGCCTTACGTCAAAGTCTTTTGGCAGAATGCCTCATTGCCAGATCTTTCCAACAAGCACCAAGACATGGCTTGGCTGGTGGTGAGAAGGGCACTATCTGTGAGATTCTTCATGTATGCCTGGTCTCTGTGCACCTGGACGGGGGAAGATAGAGATTGTCACACATCTCCTTCTGGAATGTGACTTTGCAAAGGGAATCTGGAAAGAGATGCAGTGGTTGTTGTCGAGGTTCATCCCGAGCAGCTCGGTGACACAGGACTCTGTGCTCTAGGCTGTTCCCTGGGATGCATACCAATACAAACATCGACTACGCCTGGAGGATTATCTACTCAGTGAAAAACCGAGTTGGTCTGCCCAAAACTCATTGGTCTTCCAGCGCAAGGAGTTCACTTCAACTGAATGTTGCAGACTGGCACATTCCAAGGTCCAGGACTATGTGCTGAGGCACGTACTCAGGCTTGGGGTAACTGCTGCCAAGGCGCAGTGGGAAAAGACCACTATCTAATGTCTTTTGGTCAAAGAACAATGGGGCTTTGTATAGTTATCGAACCCTCCCAGTGCCTCAAATGTATGTAAATAGTATCTTGTGTAAGTACGAAATGCTTTGGGCTTTTTGGAACTGTCAGGAGAGTCAAACTCTAATGTTTGCTTGCTCTCAATATGCTAAGACTGTACAGAAACAAACTGCTTTAGTGACTAGAGATAGTAGGAACTGCAGATGCTGGAGAATCTGAGACAACAAGGTGCAGAGCTGGATGAACACAGCAGGCCAAGCAGCATCATAGGAGCAGAAAGGCTGATGTTTCGGGCCTAGACCCTTCTTCAGAAATGGGGGAGGGGAAGGGGGTTCTGAAATAAATAGGGAGAGAGGGGGAGGCGGATAGAAGATGGATAGAGGAGAAGATAGGTGGAGAGGAGACAGACAGGTCAAAGAGG